GCTAGATAAGGTGCTAATGTATCTATTATAGATAAAATAACTTTAACGGAAATCCCCCATAAGTCTGCCGTTTTCTTAACATCAATAGTTTTAAAATATTTAACGATATCTTTTGGCAGTACCCTATGGAATTTAAAAGTATTTAAACAAGCCTTTACATTTTGTTTGAGCAATGATTCGGCGACAGTAGGAGAAGAATTTAATGATTTTGTTGTCAAACAAGGAACATCAGTAAAATGTTTCTCAAAAGCCATAGCAACTTCTTGATCAGATCGCGTTAAATTATTGTTAATATTCAATTGAAAATCCGAGTTGCGCGGTTTGACCTTGCCCGTTTCACTATTTATTATTCTCCAGGTCATTTTAATTTTGTCAGATGCAGTTTTAATTTTGTTGCTTAAATGTAAAGCCTTAGCAGTGGAGCACACTTTTTTAAATATTTTAGAATATGTTTTTACATAATCTCTAAATATAACACTACTATTATATGATCTTTCATCATAAAGCTCGTATAACCTTCGCCTACTTTTATAAATTCCTACTGTCGCCCATTCATTAAATGATTTGCGACTGTTAAAAGAGAAAGTTTTAGAAGTAAATATTCTACTAAATTCACAACGTATAATTTCAAATAATGTAGCATACAAATAATTAGCACTATTTTTAAACGAAAGTGATGGAAGTCTTTTTATTATATTACTTCTAAACCTCTCCAAGCGATGTTCATTTATTGGAACAAACACAACTTTCTTATTTTTCTGTTTTTTGTGTATGTAAGGTAGTGATACTAACTGTCCACAGTGATCTGAACTTAAATTTTGAATAATTGATTTATGCAAGGGCTTAACATCTGTAAAAATGTTATCTATACAGGTCGCACTAGGCCCAGCAATACGTGTTGGTTCTAAGAATAAATTTACAAGATTATACGATTTAAACAATGAGCGAAACTTAATACTAATGGAAGAAGTTTCAAGGAGATTGATGTTAAAGTCTCCACACATTACAACAGACTTGTTCTGTTTATTAAGTTTGAGTAAAACTTCTTCCACAATCCTTTCAAAATGGTCATAAGTAGCACATGGGGGTCTGTAAACACTTACAACAATGAGGTGCTCAAGCTCGACACAAGCCATTTCTACAGTTCGTTCAACAGAGAGGCTCACAATATCCTTACGTTCTTTATATAATAATGATTTATCTGCTAATATTAAGGAGCCACCACGTAAACTTTTTTCTCTATTGAAGGAACTGACCACCTGGTGATTTCTGAAATTAAACATGAAATTATAATCTTTTAGCCAATGTTCAGTAATACAAAGGATGTGTATATTGTTACTATTTAAAAACAATTCAACTTCCAATTCTTTGCCCAACATGCCTTGTATATTTTGATGCACCAGGTGTAAACAATTTTTATTACTTATTTGTGGGCTGTATTCAAAATTAATTAAACTCTTATTATTGCTAGAGATTGCCTCTATTGTCACATTCACTAATTTAAATTAGTTGGAACTGATTCCAAATTAAATGTCAAATGATTATGCTCAATAAGAGCAGTCTTGGTAGCCAAAAACTTGGCTGAGTTAAAAAGTAAATAATAAGATAGCACATTTGCTATCAGTCTTAAATTATATTTGGATAGGTAATACCTATCTTTTGTCCAAAACTTTTTTATTAAATTATTTATGTCAATTACATGAAATTTATGATTATTATCATTAGAATTATATGTCAAATTTAAATTATTATTACATATTAAATTATGCATTTGTACATTTAAATTATGTCTTAAATTATTTTCTTGTGGCAATCCCTGTATATAAGGCAGTGTGAACAAGACAATTTTGTGTACATTTAAGTTATTAAGTTGTTCAATATATCTTAATAACTGTTTGTTGTTGACACTGCCTCTTCTACCAACAAAAATTATTATTGTACTATTTGGGCAAAATTTAGTAACAATAATTTTATTTAGGATGTCACTAAAAGATGCTCCAGGCATGCAGCAATTTGTAACTTTTTGTCCCTTTAAAGAGTTATTTAAAGTTATGCCTAGATTTTTTTCCCATGTCATCGCTATAAACAATTATATTATTTTTAGAAATATTTGAGTTATTTATTATTTTAATATCCTCTGCTGTTTCCCTTTGTCGCCTTTTACGACACCCACGGGAAGATATGGGGTAGTGGATATTCTTAACCGCCACTACACGCCACTACACCTCAGTAGGGCTACGATGCCTATCCGAGTACAAAACCAGAGTACGAAACCTATCCAATTGCAGAGAGGTGTAAGACAGGGTGACGTCATATCCCCGAAACTCTTCACCGCTGCATTGGAAGACGGTTTCAAGCTTCTGGACTGGAAAGGATACGGTATCAACATCAATGGCGAGTACATCACTCACCTTCGATTTGCTGACGATATAGTCCTTATGGCAAAATCGCTGGAGAACCTAAGCACTATGCTCAATGACCTCAATAGTGTTTCCCAACGGATAGGTCTTAAGATGAACATGGACAAAACAAAGATCATGTTTAATGTCCATGTCACACCTATGCCGGTAGTTGTTGGGAACACTAAGCTCGAAGTTGTTGACGAGTATGTTTACATGGGACAAATAGTCCGACTAGGTAAGTCCAACTTCGACCGAGAGGTCAATCGACGGATTCAACTCGGCTGGGCAGCGTTCGGAAAATTACGGCACATCTTCTCGTCAGGTATACCTCAAAACTTGAAAACGACACTGTACACCCAGTGCGTGTTGCCAGTGATGACATGCGGAACTGAGACGTGGTCCTTCACTGCTGGCCGGATGAGGAAGCTCCAGGTCGCTCAGCGAGCTATGAAGAGGGCTATGCTCGGAGTTTCTCTGCGTGATAAACTCAGAAATGAGGATATCCGCAGTAGAACCAGAGTGACCGACATTGCCCAACGGATTAGTAAGCTGAAGTGGCAAGGAGACGGTCCTATAGCTCGAAGAACCGACAGCCGATGGGGAAGTAAGGTTCTCGAGTGGCAGCCTCGTACCGGCAGGCGAAGTGTAGGGCGTCCCCCCACTAGATGGAGTGACGATCTGGTAAGATATGCAGGAAGTCGATGGATGCAGGTGGCTCAGGACCGTGCTTTGTGGCATTCTTTGGGGGAGGCCTATGTTCAGCAATGGAGTTGTGAAGGGCTGTAATGATGATGATGATGATGATGATGATTTGTACACCATACAAAGTCCTTAAACAACACAATACACTGCAGTAAAATACAAAATGTTTATTTATTCTACACAGCAGTATTTCATCTGACGCTTACAATAGGAAAATCTGAGCTGTAAATACCAGCACTCTCTCAATAAACAAAAATTACACACCAATAACAGTTAAACTCATGAAAGGGTAAAGTAAAAGGAAAATAAAACATTTGACAATTTTTAAAGAAAACAAGATATGTATGTACCGCTTTGTCTCTCTCTCCTCTGTGTGTGTGTGCGTGCGTGCTTGGCTGCGTGCGTGCGTGGTTGCGTGTGCGTGTGTGCATGTGCGTGCGTGCGTGGCTGCGTGCATGGTTGCGTGCGTGGTTGCGTGTGTGTGTGTGCATGTGCGTGCGTGCTTGGCTGCGTGCATGGTTGCGTGCGTGTGTGTGCGTGTGCGTGTGCGTGTGCGTGTGCGCGTGCACGTGCGCGTGCACGTGCGCGTGCTTGCGCACCGCGTGCGTGCGTGCATGCGTGCGAGCGTGCGTTTGTGCGGGCGCGCGTGAGTGTGTCTGTGTGTGTGTGTGTGTGTGTGTGTGTGTGTGTGTGTGTGTGTGTGTGTGTGTGAGGTGGGTTTTAGCATAGATTACGTTGTGTTATAATCAAGATTTTGTAATCACATAATAATATATTGTTTACGCTCATATTTAGTTTTATTTTTTACATTAAATAAATTATTTACTACTTTTTGTATAGCAATACAAAAAGGGTCCAAGAAATTGATAAAAACCTTGGCTTTAGCCAGTTTGAAGTTTTTAGGTGCACCGACCAAGTTATATTTTACTGATGACTGACCGTTTACTTCGCTCGTAATGGTAGCAAGTTTATGTACATTAGAATGCTGTTTTAATAATGTGTGTAGTATAAAAAGTTGTCTCACTATCATAACTTCACTGATTTGTATAAGTAGGAAGTTGGATATCGAAACTTTTTAAAGTTCTCAAAAAATTCAAGTGATCAGATGCCATAATATCATTATTTTCAGGTAATATATTTATGTTAACGTCACCCATTATAGTTATAGAACTCAGCGATGATAGGTTAGTAAAGCCCGGTACACATGCAGCGACTTTAATCGACGGTGACTCGCTAGCGACTTATGACTTTTGTGTCTATATTATAGCGATTTATCAGTATTCGTTTCGCAGTAGAAGGCAGTAGACGCAAAGAGTATAATAATATATAGGGGAAAGTAGATGTGTATACCGGTGTCTGTTATTCACCTTTTTTATTTGTGAACGTTTCTTTGTAATGTCCGAAGAAAGGCGTCGAATGTTACTAGCGCTAGCAGCCGTTTGCATATATGACAAAGAGAGAGAAAAGAAAAATAGAAGATGTTGGGCGAAAAAATGGTTACTTCAAAGACCAAGATATTCGCATATAAATTTAATGGCCGAGCTAGCACTACAAGAACCGAACGATTTTAGAACCTATTTACGAATGGACTCTTGTACATATCAACAGTTGTTGTCTCTGTTGGAGCCAATGCTAACAAAACAAGATACGTGCATGAGAAAAGCGATAACAGCTCACGAACGATTATCAGCTACATTGCGATTTCTAGCAACCGGACGATCTTATGAGGATTTACAATACAGCGTTGCAATATCTAAGCAATCTCTAAGCAAGATAATTCCAGAAACATGTGATGCGATCATAGCTACATTGCAAGAAGAATATTTAAAGGTAGGTTTAAAGGTGCTTTTTAGTAAAACTAAACTTTTCTGTTACGTATTTACTATGTGCTAACAGTTATACATCGTGGTTGAAAATTATTAAAATACATCGTAAGTTTTGAGATGTTTTAGAATTGAGCAATCGGGTTTCTGCAATTTCTAGTGACTGATTGTTCGTCTCCTGAGGAACATGAATTAATTGACCACTCACAGGATTTATCAAAAGGTTTTGTAAAAAAGTATCATCAGTAGTAGCATTTGAATTATGAGCACTTTGAACATTTTCATTTTTAGAAAGCAATTGTATATTAACATTATGATTTACATCAATACGACTTTGACGAGAGAGGGAATTCATTCGTGCTTCAAACAAAACGTCGTTAATTAATTTCTCCGCAAAAATTTGTTGATCATTTGGTAAACTCTTTAAAATACCAGCCCATGATTTTGCTGTATGTTCCCAGCGGTCTATCAGAATAGGTTCGCTGAGATGAGCATTGATTTTACTAAGAATATCTTCTCTTGGTCTCTTCTTTTTTTTATTACTATCACGAGATGCCGTAGTAGACACTGTTGAGGGTGCTGGTGATTGCGTTGACTCCGAAAATATATCAGAATCTACATCTTCATTTCTATTTATTCCTAATTCCTCATCGACAGGTCCCTGAAATAAAATATAAATATAAATACCTATTTTTGTTCTAGTTTCCTGAAACTGAAGAAGAATGGTTAGACATAGCAAAAACATTTGAAGAAAGGTGGCAGTTTCCTCATTGCTTAGGAGCTATAGACGGGAAACATGTAAAAATTGTGCCCCCCAGCAAATAGTGAATCATACTACTTTAACTATAAAAAGGATTTCAGCGTTGTTTTATTAGCAATAGCAAATGCAAATTACGAATTTATAATGGTAGATATAGGAATTAATGGCCGAATATCTGATGGTGGAGTTATTAATAGAAGTATATTTTATGAGAAACTAAACACAGGATCCTTAAATATTCCTAGGGTAGCAAGGATAATGAATAGTGAAACTGTTTTGCCATACGTCTTCGTGGGGGATGATGCATTTTCTTTACGATTTGATGAAACCTTACCCAGGTCCATACTTAAGTCCTCAACAAAGAATATTCAATTATAGACTATCAAGAGCCCGTCGCATTATTGAAAACGTTTTTGGTATTTTAGTCAATCGATTCCGAATATTCAAAACTTCAATCAATTTAGATGTGAAAACCATTGACAAAATAGTAATGGCAGCATGTATATTGCATAACTTTTTACGTCGAAATTGTAATCAATATATCCGAGTGGGTGTGGATATTGAAAATTTAGAAGATGGCAATATAAGGACTGGTTACAGAGCCAACAACAAATTGTTAGATTTACAAATAACGAATCAAGGTCAAAGTCAAACCATGGCTAGATATGTTCGAGATCAATATATGCAATATTTCAATAATGAGGGTAGTGTTTTGTGGCAAAACCGTTTCACTAATTTAAATACCTTTACATAATGTTATTTGATAACAATATGAATAAACAAATATAGTATACGAGTCCTAAAGCATAAATTGTATTTTTATTTCGCGTCTTACCCGATCTTTGTTTCCTATTTTAATGTTAGTTATTGAACTTCTAGTCGTCTCTTGATCTTTCAAGAAGTTGAGTAAATCATAATACCATAATGATGGAGTAGGAATATCTTCCACAGCCATTCCGGATTTCAAGCTTTTTTCAATCTTTTCGTGTTGTCTTCGCCAAACATCCCTCATATTTTTAATTTTTTTTATCACAAAATCTCGATCAGCGTTTGGCTCCACCTCCTTAAATTTTCCCACTAATATCTCATAGCTTTGTGACTTTGAATCTCTGTTTGAGTAATTTTTACGTGGTAGAGCCATGCTGCAGCTATATTATGGTTGTAGCACGAATGGGTCGGCTCGAACGGGGAAGGACCACGCTCTCACAGAAAACCAGCGTAAAATAGCAGCTTAACGCTGCTGTGTTTCGTATGGTGAGTGTAGAGAATCGGAGACCCTTTTTACTGGCAAAGAGGCATTCCATCTTAGTCCTCACGGGTGACAACGCATGTGCATCTTGAGTCTTTATTGAGGATAGATGTAGATGTCTATGGGTCACAGTAACCACTTACCATCAGGTGGACTGTGTGCTCGTTTGTCACCCGATCCTATAAAAAAAAAAAAAATCTTTACTCTTAACCATCCATAATGACGGTAATTCCCGGTATAATTCTATAAATTCAGTTACAAAAGCCCGAGAATATTTACGTAGGTCCGCCATTTTAAAATCGCTCACGCACGGCGTACACGTCCACACAGCAACGATGTCGCTGGCGACTGTTTGGCGACTGTCGACTTTTCAGATTTACAGCGATTCGATCGCCGCATTGACAGCGACTATAAATCGTTGCTAATATTCACGTCCACACACAGATTTTGACATCTGTGTGTGGACACACACACAGCGACGCCAGCGAGTCGCTATCGATTAAAGTCGCTGCCGTGTGGACCCTTCTTAAGGTTTTGGTTTAGTGAATCAATAAACTCACTTATGTCTCTTGTAGAAGGATACCTCTATATAGCTAATACACCCAAGTAATTACCAATTAAAAAGGTAGCTGTTTTGAATTTAAGTTCTGTAACACATACTTATTTAAGGTCTTCTCTGATATAAATTATAACTTCGTCATTTTGGTTCATATTACATAGTGTATGGTAGCTGGTATAACCATCCAATGATAGAAGATATGGATTAGATGCTAGTCTACATTCTATAAGTATTATAATATCATTACTAAAACCAAGAAGAGTTAGCAATGTTTGTAATACAGATATTTGCAGATACACTACGTATATACTTGACTAATTATTTTAAAACTATTTACGGGATTGGGTATGAGTTATAATAGGAAAAGCTATATGTATGGCCAATCTGAAAATATCTAGAACGCAAGTTGAGAGAGCGTCAAATGTACTATAAAAATGTACTTAAAAATAGACAAACATCTCTAATAAATAAAACGACTGTAATTGGTTGTAAAAAGAAGAAAATACACAATATTTCAAGCAAAATAATCGTGACCAACAAACCCACGCACATTTATCGCTTACTCAAAAAGTAATTTTGAAAGCTATTGAGCGTTCATTCTTTTCAAATGGTCAATTTTCCGTGAAGTTTTTTATCTTTTAATTCAATATTGAATGATTGAATGATGAATGATGATTCTGCAATATTTTATAAGAGTTTCAAATAATTAATGAGACCTTTTATCATCATGTCAACAACAAAATGGACGTAGATGGCCTATATATGTATGCATATATATGTGTATATATATGTATATAATTTTGGCCATCCGTTTGTCTTTCTGCTCGTCTGTCTTTCCGTTTGCACTGGCTAATCTTTGGAAAGGCTGAACCGATTATGATGAAACTTCATGAACAGATAGAGAGCAACCAGGAGAGATCTAAGCTATATTTTATATATTACACTATATGGTCATCGGTATACATAAATTGTTATTTATGATTACCGATGACAGTAATATAGTGGCGGTGTAAGAATATCCTTTACCCCATCAAATATTATCATCAATCATTATCATCAATCAAATATTATCATGATTTCGGGTGTCGTAAGAGGCGACACAGGGAAACAAATCAAGAGATGGGCATCATAGTTTCCTAATAAAAACTTAATTACCAAGCGTGGCAACTATGGCAAATGGGGGATCCCTCGAGGCAATCTATGGGGAGGCCTATGTTCTGACTTTGGTAGGCTGTAACGGGGATTAAAAAAAAACTAAATAACGCCACATTAATACATCCCACGCAGACGTTGAAATTTTAATATTAATTTAAAAACTTTTAACGAATTTTTGTAATTAAACAGTTGAATGAAAAATTTTGCGGAAATCATATAAAAAATATAAACTCATTTTTGTTTATATTTTTTAATTATTATAAGGCTTACTAATTGTAATACTTGATTGCAATCTCACCTAATAGTTGTGAAGAAAAATAATAGCTGATTCGTTATTAGTTGGGTTTTTATTTAATTGGTAACTAATGAATGTGAACGATTACAGTAGTGATATTCGAATGGGTTTCACTATATTATTAAATTCTGAAACTAATAAAAACCCAAAGTAAATTGGCTTCACATAACTTTTTCCACCTAACTTTTGATACACAATATTCGGAAATAATTTCTGTCCTGATACAAACCAGCAAGAAACCTAGCGGGATTATTATTTTTAATTTCAAATTCAATGACTTATCAGTGATGAGTTATCACATACCATGCGATCATGCGATGAGCTATTTTTGACAATGCATTAGTAACGTAAAAAAAGTACCTTTTAATGTCATTGTTAAATAATCTTCGACAATTTTTTTTTGAATTTAATGTAGTCGGTGCTATTCACACATTTAAACTTTAATGTCAACGTCATCATCATTAACAGCCTATATAATACAGCGCCAAAATATGTAGTAGCATGTCTTACTCGGAATATCCATCCATCAATCAGCGGAAACCGGGCGCAAGTGAGATGATAAAATTAGCATACTCTCCAATATAGTGCTCCCTTCCGTTAGATAAGTATTTACTTAAACGTATTTATTATTATTATATCATATAAGCGATGTGGCTTCTGATTTTGCCTCTAACTCATTCAAAACGGTTTTTTGAAAAAGTGGATAAAATCTTGGACCGCCTTGGCGAGAGACCCGAATGCACGGGTTCCCGAAGGAAGGCGAACTATTTTCTCGCCAATTCTGCCGATGTTCTCTGACTTTGCCTCGGCAATGACTCTTTTGAAGGACGTGGAGGCGGAATTATACTTCTTTTTAAGAGCGCTGTTGTTTTTATTCCGGGACTTTGATGTGTCAGCCCAGGCCCGGTAGCACTCCTGCTTACAGCGTGATGCTATTTTACAGGAGCGACCAAACCAGGGCTGGCATCTGCCTCTGATTGGCACCACAGAAGAAGAAATAAAAAGTTCCATACCCTGAAGTAACACATCAGCGACAGAATTAGCAATAATGTTGGGATCGTCCGGCGAGAAGCAAACCCGCCCACAAGGTTAGGATGCAAAAAAATACCGCATTCTGTCCCAATCAGCCGAAATGTATGCGATGTTAGCGTAAGTGGCACCACACTCCAGACTAGACAATGGTCCAAGGAGCCAAGGGGAGCGTCGATGGAGATCTGATGTCCGTCCGGATGAAAGGCCAGCAGCAGGTCTTACAGGGAAGGTGCATGATCCTTCAAATCTGTAATCCGAGTAGTCGAAGTAACCAGTTGCGTCAGACCATATGCCAAGGCAAAGTCATAAACAGATCTACCCGCATAATTAAACATGAGGTTAAACGTGAACCGAGCCATTCGGCGTGGTGGGCGTTAAAATCGCCGAGGACCACTATCTCTGCGGATGGGATCTGCTGTAGCAAAGAATCTGTAGCCATTTCTAACGTGGTAGAGCCATGCTGCAGCTATATTAGTAGTATGGTTGTAGCACGAATGGGTCGGTTCGACCGGGGAAGGACCACGCTCTCACAGATTACCAGCGTATAATAGCAGCTTAACACTGCTGTGTTTCGTATGGTGAGTGTAGAGAACCAGAGACCTTTTTTACTGGAAAAGAGGCATTCCATCTTAGTCCTCACGGGTGACAACGCATCTGCATTTTGATTCGTAATCAAGGATAGATGTAGATGTCTATGGGCCACAGTAACCACTTACCATCAGGTGAACTGTGTGCTCGTTTGTCACCCGATCCCATAAAAAAAATTTGGATGTGGTCGATGACTTGGTCTGTTTCGGCATTTCCGGTATGGGACTTATAAAGGCACCCGTAGACCCGTGGACAGATGTTTTCTCTAATGTATACGCAAACTCCAGCTCGAGGCACAATGGATTGTTCCAATTTGTATCCCGGGTAGGAGAGATACGATGTACCAGCCGGAGAGGACACTTGCGTCTCTGTCAGAAAAAGCAAGACCGGTTGCGCCTCGTCTCCAGATGGTAGTGGAGTATGCCAAAAAGTTGCAAATAAGAGTACAAACTAATAAAAAGTACTAACGTATATGAGTAGTAAACTTGCAGATGGCAACTAAAATGGAATGTGATATCTATCAATAAAAATGATTTCCGGCACTTGTTATTTTATTATTCTTAAGTACGTTGTTTACGAGCCTTGGATGCGTAAATATCGTTTGGCTATGTGGGACATTGTGATTCTTTACTGTAGTCAATATTTTCAGACCTCTACGATTAAGGAATCACACACATACATAAACAAAATGTGTTCAAATCGTCGACGACTGAGTCTTCTCCAATGGGCTCGATTCTCTGGAACACACAAATAAAATGCGATGAGATGTTGCATTCCTTTGCATTTTCTTTCGTGCTGTGAGGAATTGTTCGGATTAATTCCAGCCGCTAAATTTCACGAACACACATCGCGACAAAACTTCCAATACCATCCATACAATCTGGATGCTTGGCGTTCCACCACTATACGTTTTACTAGGAGTTTTCTTACTCGTACGACCTCTCTGTGGAATAGTTTACCACCGGCGATTTTTCCGGATCGATACGACTTAGGGACCTTCAAGAAAAGAGCTTAGGGCAGAAACGCACCCATAATTCCCCTGGTGCTGAAGTTGTTATGGGCAGCGGTAGTCACTTACCATCAGGTGAGCCGTATGCTCGTTTACTCCCTCTCCTCTAAAAAAAAAAACTCTGGAATTAAATCTATGGTAGTATTCGAGACTGCCGATATTAAGTATCATGTAATGTTCAATCATGTACATAATGTATGTAAGGGTCATGTCTGTCACTGTTGTGTATCACTGACGATACCACCGTACGATCAAACCGTTATCTGTCAGTGAAAGTCCGGTCAAAATCGTTCCAGCCGTTTCGGAGATTTGCCGGAACAAACAGACAGACAGATAGAAAGACAGACAGACAAAATTTTAAAAAATCGTGTAATTGTTATAATTGCCGTATATACTTTCATGTGCATATAGTAAAAAGCAGTTATTTTGACATTACAAACAGACACTGCAATGTTTCTTTTCATATATATATGAAAAGTGTGTTCGACCGAAACAGGATCTTCAACCGAAACCGAAACCGAAACTGAAACTTATTTAGATATGTTATTTTTCTATTGTATACTGAAATATGGCATATTTTTTCAGATAGGTAATTCATGTTAATGAAAAACATTAATAGTTTCATATAGCAATATCTTTATTATTAAATTATTTTAATGTCAAAATTTAACAATTTAATATTAAGAAATACTTTTTTAAGTAAATTTCATCAATAATCAACACTTACATGTATGAAAAGTTATGCTAATATAATTATCAATCTCCACAAAGATTACAATACTTTTAACGACAGTTTAGTATTTAATTAAAAAAATAAGAATCATGTTTACTTAATCTTGTCTTGTTAAAAATCAACATTTAGAATAAAAAAGACAATTTTAATTGTCACGTTACAAAAGCTTTAAGACTTATTTATTAGGTATATATCGAGATCTTGTGCTTAGCCTTACAGAATTACCTAGTTATGTCTTAACAATAATTTCAATAATTTGTACGTCAATTCGTACTAGATAAAAAAAAATCAGTTCTAAAATCAGAAAAAGAAACGAAATATTATTACTAGTTCTATGTAGATTAGTAAACAACTATTTCAGTATTCATAATTAAAAAGTCTCATATTGTGTGCCGAAAAAAGCAGTTTTTCAACATTTTCACCAAGTAGGTTATTTCGACGATCTGCGTAAATTTGTCCAGCGGCACTGAACAGTTGCTCGCTTGGTACACTAGTAGGTGGAGCAGAAAGATACTTTAAAACCGCTTTTCTCAGAGTTGGATAGGGACTGCTATTCCAGTTACAATATATATCGGCATTCCGTTGCAATAATGGCTCCGACAGATAAGATTCAATTTTTTCTTTCAGAACAGATTTTTGATCTTCAGATCCAGCTGAATCCATTTGATTAGGATTGTTATCGTGTGAATCCCAAAGACTCTCTTTATCTTGCGGTATGTTGGAGGTGGACGTTGACAATACTAAAGGGGCTGTAGACACCGAGGAGACATTATCTGTGCCTCTGAATAGTGCGGAATTGTTGTCATAGTCCGTCAAAAATGATATTATTTCCGACATTGCAAGATCCAATTCATCGGAATTGAGGTATTTTGATTTAAACCTCGGGTCAAGAATTGTCGCAGGCATCAATGAAGTTTGCCTTTTTATATAAGAGAATCTGGTATTCAGAGTGTCATATAGTGAGTTTTTCATATCGATCATTATCTCATTTTCGTTTTCGGATCGAACTTGCAGTTTGCGGGTTAATAATGATATCATTGGTATTACTGTTGATATGGATGCGTCATCAAACGATAAATCAAGAGTGGCCTCATAAAAGAATTTCAAAGCAGCTGTGAGATTTTTTATGATATCTCATTCATTAGAGGAAAGAGTATCAACTTTTCCATATTCAATACTGTACAAGTTGACTGCATTCTTCTGCTCTAACAGTCTTAGTTACATCAAGTACGTGCTGTTCCACCTTACATCCATATCTTGTACTAAAGTATGTTCAACAATTCCGCATTGTTTCTGACATTCAATCAATTTTCTGGTTGCCTGCTTACTATGGTTGAAGTGGCCTACGATTTTTCTACATTTTTTTTAACATTTCTTAAGTTTCGGCACCGCGGAAGGTTCGGCAGATTTTTTGCCGAAACTTTCCGAAACCGAATATTCGGTCGGTCACTAATATATATAAAATAAGCTTGATTTGGCCAAAGGCCTTCCTCACCCTCCCGAGGCCACGTACATATAAAAACGCTCAGCCAGTGCGTGGAACAGCGACGCAGGAATACAGGCAGCAGGTGTAATAGCGAGAGGTAAAGTTCTGCTACGCATTTCAATTTCATTGAGTAGTAAATTTGATCCCGTTCATTAAGGCGACACTCAAGCTCAGTTAACGAGTCTTCCATTTTGGAGTCTGCCGACTGAGCTTGCGTGCCCGCCGCGCGCTGGTCAAGATATGTTACCTTTATTCAATATCGCCTACCCTCTTCTTCAGCTTGTTTACGTAATGCGTCGCCGAGTTCAATATCTGTGCCAACGGAGATACTCGAGCTAGGCGTAGTGCTCATGCCACCTTATCTTGAATTTTTCGACTTGCATCCACGACATTGCCATTTATTTGATATACAAGCATCGTTTTTAAGATTAACGCATTGACGATAGAGCATATTCATACAATTAGAGCACTTTACCCCGTCCACTTTCGAGGTAAATCTAACGCTGGCACCAACACTTATTCCCCATTTTTATCACTACTTATCGGGCAGTGTAAACAGTTCTATACAAAGCTAAGAGATGTCACTGTAGCTAGTTTATTTTCAAAGCTTATTTATACGATAAAGCTCTTGCTAATATTTTAATTTACATATATAATGAAACGCACATCCTTATATATATATATATATATATATATATATATATATATATATATATAAGGAAGTTGATACGCAGTCAGCTGATTTACACTTCAATCAATTATTTCTACATCTATAACAATAAACCAAACACTTGATCACGCCACACTACTGAATTGTTTTATAACATACACACACTTGGTAAAAATCTCCATATTTAAAGAAAAATAACTTTTATACTATAACAAACGAAGTGTTTGACAACCGACCGAGCTTCATCAATTGGATTATTTAATGATCTAAACCGCTGCGCCATTTCATTTTAATGAAAGGATAATTCAATTAATACAACAAAATCCGTACGCAATAAAATTAAAATTTGTTTAGTTGATGACAATTTTGGTTCAAATTTAATCTGTTTTAATTTCAATCACAATGCGTTACTTTGTGTTTTGATAGTAGAATGCTGCTGTATTTCGTATGATTAGTGACAAGAACCGGAGATCCCTTTTCATCGGTGACGAGGCATTCTGCCATAATCCTCAGGGGTTTAACACATCTGCATTTTTATTCGTAATCAAAGATGGATGTGTCTATGAGAAACAGCATCCACTTATCATCAGGAGGATTGTGTGCTTATTTGTCACTATTAATTATTAGGATGAAAACATAAATTTATCCTAATTGAATTTATAGAACTTGCCTGTTCGTAGCAATATCAGCTGGCATCGAAGTTAATGTTCTAATTAGCAAAGTGTGACGTAGTAATAAAGGTATTCAATAATTGACACTTGCACCATCTATTACAAAATCCATACCATGTGACGGGTTCCACTACAAATATAAGTTTTCGAGGTTTTGGGTTTGAATTAAAGATCTAATGCGCTGGCTGTATATAATATAACAGTAAAGCATGAATTATAAAGTTTAAATAAATAAGAACGCAACTACGTTGCAAGGAATTGTGCCACAGCACATATGGGCCAGCTCAACCCAAAAACGACTACACTTTCACAGAATACCATCATGAAATAGCGACATAACACTACTGTGTTACATGTGAAAGTGAATGATGTGTGAACCTGGAGACTCTTTTTACTGATAATGAGGTTTAATACCATTTTAGTTGTAAGGGGTCACAACACATCGGCATTTTGATTCTTAATCGAGGATAATTGTAGATGTCTATGGCAGCAGCAACACTTACTATCAGTTTAAATGTGTGACCGCTTGAGTCGACTTTGTTGTAGTTAGTAATATCCCTGCAGAGATCGAATTTTGCGGAATGGAAAGTTCTGATCTCTCTGTTAATATTGTTTCAATATTTAAACATATAATAAGTTCCTAGACACCAGGCTCGGTAGGAAGGCACAGATTTGAAATTCTCGCATTAGTATAATGTTGGTGTATAAGATTTTTTGCATGGATTAGTCTCGTATTTCAGTCAGTGTTTGGAATAAGTGATCGAAATGCAAACTTTTAATTATACATTAAACTGTATATATTTTTAAAGAAAATATAAAATTATGTAAATTTATTGCACTTCGTTGCTTTTATGTTCAAAAATTCTAGAAAAGCCTTCTTCCGTAAGTGAATGAAAAATGTCAATACTATAATTTTAATATGAATTCATCTTGAAGGCGGTATTGAAGCTTTCATTCAAGCATGTTGCGTATGCAAAATGAGAATTTTCTCATTTCAAGATATTTTTATTATTCATCATATCGTAAGCAAGATGTACTTCGCGAAATTGCTTTCCCTCGTCTTGTGATAACAGCTATACAATGTAACAAAGTGAAGCTGAAAAAGTTATCAGATCTATACATTAATGGTTATTCCGGATGATTTGTTTGTTGATTTCTTCCATCTGTGACCAGAAATCCGATAGTTATTTCCTGAACAAACACGGCCTTTGGCAAGCAATAAATATGGGCTATATTTTTTTTTAAACAATAAGGTTGACAAACGAGCGCACAGTCCACTTGATGGTAAGTGGATGCTTCGGCCCATAGAAATCTACATTTATCTTAGATTTAAAATAAAAATGCAGATGCGTTGTCACCCCTGAGGACTAAGATGAATGCCTCGTTTCCAGTAAAAAGGGTGTCCGGTTCTCTACACTCACCATACGAAACACAGCGGCATTAAGCTGCTATTTTACGCTGGTGAGTGGTCATACCCCAGTCGAGCCGACCCATTTATGCTACAACCATAATATAGCTCCAGCGTGCAGGAGTGGACCGTGAATTTGTTTACTTAAACTAAATTAACGAAAGTAATCAAGTCAAAAAACTTTTTTCTATAATGACGTATACGGTCTGGAAAGAAACTAGGTTAATGAAATATTTTATTTATTTAATATGATTTAGATACACAAACAGCGAGTAAGACATTATTGCAAAATAAATTATCAGGTAGTTATGTTAAATGAGCTCATCGAGATTAGAATGGCTCTCCAGCATCTTAAAGACGGCAAATCCCCGGGTGAGGATGCAATTACAGCGGAATGTCTGAAAGCGGGTGGAAAACCGGTACTTGAAGTCCTTCAGAAGCTCTTTAATTCCGTCCTCCATGGTGGCACTACACCAGAGGCGTGGAGCAGAAGTGCAGTAGTCTTGTTCTTCAAGAAAGGCGACAATGCTCTCTTAAAGAACTACAGAACGTACGCCTCTTTTCTATTTCATATAATAATTACTTATTTATGATGTAAAATTTAGACTGCTTTCGATTATTAAAAATTTAATTTTTTAAATTATATACAATAAAATAAAAATATATGTAATGCGTGGAATAAAGCATCCATTAATTTTATGACTTTCTGGGCCTTAGCATAAAATTAGCTTAATCTTAGCCCGATACAACTATAAATTCAGAACCAAAAATTATGCTAAGCGTATACTCAGCTAAGGTATACGGTCTATAGATTACAGCCTTAGAGTCCACAGAGTATTTTCATCACACCACAGAGTATTTTTTCGAGCTCAGACCACTCTTAGACTATGAATAGCTGATTTTAAACCATGGACGTATCCATAGATAATATATCATCATCATTATCATTATAGCCCTTCATAAGTCGACTCCTGAAGGCCTTTCTCACGGAATGACACAGTCCAAAGGTCTCACTCCATCTAGTGGGCTCTACACTTCGTACGAGGTTGCCTCTCGAGAACCTTACTTTCCCATCGGTTATCGGTTCTTCAAGTTATGGTCGGCATATTGCTACTTCTTTCAGTTTACCGATTTGGTGATTATACACAGTAGTTTTATTTTTACATCCATACATCGGCATATTATAGAAATAGAATTGCAAGTAACGTAGACATATATTAGATGGTAAATTGAACTATCTCAGCATAACAAAAGCCGTACGTAAATCGAACGGAAAGGCGACGTCGTAAAATTATTCCACTCCTTTTCTGTACGCATTAGAAAAGGCGAAGCATGCAGTTTGGTTTGATTGTGTGGAATAGTTTAACACTGATATATAACATGACACACATACACAATAATGATATAAGTGGGACATTGCCTTTTCAGTTCAAGTCACATTAGCCTGTTGTTAAGAGTACGGCCTGCGGAAATAAAAGAACGTGGGTTCGATTTCGCTATTTGACTAATGCTATTTACTACTTCTACTTTTATTTTCTACTTACTACTTCTACTTTATACTTTTATTTATCATAATCTCCGTGCCGTGTAGTGGCGGTCAAGAATATCCACTATCCCATATCTTCCCGTGAGTGTCGTAAAAGGCGACAAAGGGAAACAGGTAGGAGATGGGCAGCATCATCTTCTGCTGATAACAGAAAATTATAATAAAAAAAACTGCGGTTGCCAACCTACTCGCCAAGCGTGGCAACTATGGCAAAACCCCCCATGACAAAAGTTACAAAAAGACGGCCCCAGTCCCCGGCGGCCCCGCTATTCCTGGCTACGGTGGCGACCATGGTAACGGCGGGGCAGGGTGTGCTAAGAATCTCCGGTGGAGGTTCGGTTGCCACCTTAGACGACTCAACCTGGCAACGTACAACGCACGCACCCTGAGGACTGACGAGAAGATTGTGGAGCTGGAAGAAGAGATAAACAAGTTACGCTGGCATATTATAGGATTATCCGAAGTCCGAAGAGAGGGGGAGGACACGGTAATCCTCGAATCCGGCAACTTGCTCTATCACCGGGAGGGCGACCATTTGTCCCAAGGAGGTGTCGGATTTATCGTCCACAAGTCTCTCGTTAACAACGTTATAAAGATCGGGAGTGCGTCGACGAGGGTTGCGTACCTTATACTCAGAATCACCAAACGGTATTCGCTGAAGGTCATACAGGTTTACGCACCAACCTCGGCACACCCCGATGAGGAGGTGGAGGAAATGTATGAGAATATCTATAGAGCCATGCATTCCTCCTAAACCCAATATACGGTGTTAATGGGAGACTTCAATCCAAAACTAGGCACAAGAGAGAACGGTGAGCTGAAAGTAGGGAAATTTGGAATAGCGCAACGGAACCCAAGGGGCCAGCAGCTGGCCGACTTCATGGAGAAAGAGGGACTCTTTATGATGAACTCTTTCTTCCAGAAGCGGCCCCACAGGAAGTGGACCTGGTCGAGCCCCGACGGTTCAACAAAACATGAGATTGACTTCATTATGACGACCAGACGACAACTGTTCAGTGATGTCTCAGTGATCGCGAGGGTGAAAACCGGCAGCGAT